CTCACGCTCTCTCTCTCTCTCTCTCTGGCGTACGCCCAATTCTCCTCTATTTAAACATCAGGCTGACAGGAAAACATTTGAGGAACCAGGGCCAGATTGTGCTGAAGGTCCCCAGAGGTTGTGCAATCCGGGGCCACTGTTGACTGCCGAGGGGTCAGGAATGGTGACCGCAGCACCTGGCCCCTCATAGTACACTGCCAGGTCCTCCCTAGGGTTACCCGGCCTCTTCCTCTTTCACTCCCTCCGAGAGCAGACATTTTTACTTAAGAGTTACAACCGGGGGCATAACACAAACAAAAATGTCTTCCAAGGGCGAGCATGCAACCCGGCGCACAGCTTGCTCAATGCTCAATGCGTTCGAGGGCGAATACTGTTGGGCCAGATGTGGGCTAGTTGGTTGTTTGGAAGCCCAGATTCTGGATCTAAACAGTCAACTGGCAACACTGCAGAGCATAACCAGCATGGAAAAGAGTCTGGGCCTGACTCATCAGGTTCTGGTGGAGGGCGGTACTGAGGAAGGGGGGGTACAGAGGAGCAGGATCCCGAGGAGGGTAGCTGGGTGACCATGAGGGGGCGGGGTAGAGTAGGGTTGCCACCTGTCTTGGATTCACCTGGACAGTCCGGGTTTTGAGTCCTTTATGTGCTGTGTCTGTGTTACACCAGGAAACAGAACTTGCAGGACTCAAAACCCGGACTGTCCAGCTGAATCCGGGACTGGTGGCAACCTTAGGATAGAGGGAAGAGTGCGAGAGAGGCCAGTCCTGAACTCATACACCCCAATAAACATTCCAGGTTGCAGGATGTTGGGGATATTAGTTCAGGGGTGGCATTGCTGGAGCAGGACACCTCCTCTATCTGCAGGGGGAGTGCGAGAGAGGCCAGTCCTGAAATGATACACCCCAATAAATATGCCAGGTTGCAGGATGTTGGGGATAGTAGTACAGGGGTGGCATTGCTGGAGCAGGATGCCTCCTCTATCCGCAGGGGGAGTGAATGCTCCAGTAATGATGGGAACAGGATGGAGGAACATGAGAGACATATTTTGGTGGTGGGGGACTATATTATCAGACGGACAGACAGGCTAATCTGTCACGGGGACCGTGAGCGTCGAACAGTTTGTTGCTTACCAGTAGCTCGTGTTCGACACATTGTGGAACGGATGGGCAGGTTACTGGACGGGTTGGGCATGACCCGGCTGTCATGGTGCATATCGGCACCAATGACAAAGTTAGAGGCAGATGGAGTGTCCCTAAAAAAGAGTTCAGAGACTCAGGTGCTAGGTTGTATGAAAGGACCTGCGCGGCAGTATTTTCGGAGATACTGCCGGTGCCATGCGCCACTCCAGAGAGGCACAGGGAGTTGAGGGAACTGAACAAGTGGCTTCGGAACTGGTGTCGGAAAGAGAGCTTTGGGTTTTTGGAGAACTGGGCTGACTTCTCAGTTGGTTGCTGGCTCTAAAGCAGAGACGGGCTGCATCTAAATGGGGAAGGCGCATCACTTTTGGGGGAGAAAATAGTTAAAAGACTGGAGGAGCTTTTAAACTAGATAATGGGGGGTTATTCACTAAAGAGCCGAAGGATCCAGCCTGGGGATCTGTCATTAAACAATAACAACTGGGCGGAGCCGGCAGTGATGTCACGGAAACAGCTGGGTCAATTTAAGGCTTTTTTTCTCTTAACATCAAATCCCCGTCTAAAGGTGGCCATACACTTTACAACCCTCGCAAGACCTTAGTCTTGCGAGGGTTGTAAAGTAATTAAAAAAAGGTACGATCTGCCCATCTTGGACAGGCAGATCGTACTCTTGATCATCGCAAGCCCGCCCCCCTGAGGGGTGCGCTTGTGATGACTGTAATGAGTGGCGGGCTTACGCTGACTGCAAACGGGCAGTGTGCGCGTGCGCACACCGTCCCGTTCGGCAGTTATCGAACCAGCAGGCCACCAACTCGCCGAGAATCGTACGATTCCCGGCGGGTTTTCTAGCCTGCTGGTTCGACGGAAGACGTGCGACCGTACAGTAGAAACGGTCGCACGCCTTCCATACACTGCACGATTCTCGTACGATCGCGGGATTTCCCGCGATTCTCGTACGAGAATGGTGCAGTGTATGGGCACCTTTACATTGTCTTAAGTGGCACTAAGAAATAAAGTTTAATCGGTTTGATTGGGAGTCCTACTGACACCAATACGAGAGGGGGCACCATTGGGATAGCAAAACCTTATTTCAGGGAGGTTCCCATCTCATTTCAGGGAGGTGCCCTTTCTGTTTTTTTTTTACAGCGGCCGTCGTCCAAATATAAAAGAAAAAATAAAGATAAGAAAAAATAATGATAGATCTCAGTGCCTGTACCTGCTCTCAATAGTAGTCTATGTCCGCCCTCTCTGTGCAGCAAGTAGCTTCTTCCTTCTGAGAGCCAAGCCTTGTTCTGAGGCTACTCTAGAGATCATATGACCCTCCTCAGGGAGGCAAGCCTCACTCTGAGGCTACTCTAGAGATCACATGACCTTCCTCAAGGAGGCAAGCCTCGTTCTGAGGCTACTCTAGAGATCATATGACCCTCCTCAGGGAGGCAAGCCTCACTCTGAAACTTTACCCACTGATATCTTACCGGAAAGGTTTACTCAGAGTAAACCTTTCAGGGAGAAAATCTCTCTCTCGCGGACGTCAAGGAGCCGCTATCTAATAGCGGCAGACTCCCTGAACGTCAGGGAGACTTGAGATCCCTGGGATAGCACAGTATTCAGAATGAAGCATAAAATGTACAGCACGGCATGCAGAATGAGGCAGTGAGGAACCGGGAACTTACAACACAGTATACTGAATGAGGCAGTATGAAACATGTATGTGCTGAGTTCCCGGGTCTGTACACCTGCTGTGCCCATTATGAGGGGCTCCCACCATCCCTGAGCTGAGTTCCCAGGTCTGTACACCTGCTGTACCCATTATGAGGAGCTCCCACCATTCCTGAGCTGAGTTCCCGGGTCTGTACACCTATGTCCATTATGAGGGGCTCCCACCATCCCTGTGCTGAGTTCCCGGGTCTGTACACCTATGTCCATTATGAGGAGCTCCCACCATCCCTGAGCTGAGTTCCCGGGTCTGTACACCTGCTGTTGTCATTATGAGGGGCTCCCACCATCCCTGAGCTGAGTTCCCGGGTCTGTACACCTGCTGTGCCCATTATGAGGGGCTCCCACCATCCCTGTGCTGAGTTCCCGGGTCTGTACACCTGCTGTGCTTATTATGAGGGGCTCCCACCATCCCTGAGCTGAGTTCCCGGGTCTGTACACCTGCTGTTCCCATTATGAGGGGCTCCCACTATCCCTGAGCTGAGTTCCCGGGTCTGTACACCTGCTGTGCCCATTATGAGGGGCTCCCACCATCCCAGTGCTGAGTTCCCGGGTCTGTACACCTGCTGTGCCCATTATGAGGGGCTCCCACTATCCCTGTGCTGAGTTTCTGGGTCTGTACACCTGCTGTGCCCATTATGAGGGGCTCCCACCATCCCTGTGCTGAGTTCCCGGGTCTGTACACCTGCTGTACTTATTATGAGGGGCTCCCACCATCCCTGTGCTGAGTTCCTGGGTCTGTACACCTGCTGTGCCCATTATGAGGGGCTCCCACCATCCCTGTGCTGAGTTCCTGGGTCTGTACACCTGCTGTGCCCATTATGAGGAGCTCCCACCATCCCTGTGCTGAGTTCCCGACAAAGCAAATAATAACCAGTAAAAAACACAAATTATCTAATTTTCCAGGTCAGTGGCAGCTTACAAAACAACCAGAGAAAACGTAGACGGGTCGGGGTTTTGTCGCCACCTTGTGGCCCTTCAGGAGCACTGCAGGCTACTGTGTTCAATGATACTTACACATTGCCAGGAACAGAGTGAACGTAGCTGCAGATTCATATCTGCTTCTGCCCTGTAGATACCAAGGTGGGCTATGCTGGCGCACTTAATGAGCCCCTAAATGAGAACCATATGAGCTCTGCCTTTACTATAATGTTGTCATCAGTGTAATGTGACCGGAATCTCTGTGCAAAGTTCTGGGGGTGGCATTTACAAGAGTCTTGCTGCTATGGTTGCAGGGAAGAAGAATTTTGACTGTTCTCTGTCAGCTATAAAATAATGGCTGAATGGAGACAGAACGGTCACCTAGGTTGGTGTCACAGCTATGGATTTTTTGAATGCATCAAAATATAGGTCAGGGGGTGTATCAAGGGGTGTCTATTGATTGCAGTAGAAAAAGCATTAGAACAATGCTACATCCATGGTTCTCATGCTGATCCAATGGCTTCAGTAGGCTCCTGATCACCAACTTGGGACAAGCAAGTCGCTTGAGAGTTCTGACTTGCATATCAGAGGGCCCCGGGGGTTTTGAGGGTCCCGAATCACTCACAGGTGTGTGGAGCTGCCCCTGGTGTCCTGATGTCCAGTCATGTGACACCTCTGAATTGTAGGTTGCCATTGCGAATATCTGCTTCTAACAATGCCTGGCTGGCCCATCAATGGCTACCTCCCGAGCAAATGACAGAGATAAAGAATACTGATGAATTTGCTGCATGCCTGCCCCAGGTCTGTGACTGGAAACCTCTGAAACCAAATACAGCCAGGCATCTAGCACTTTCTAGAATGCTAATAAGGACACCCTTACTCCTGGGCAGGCAGATGAATCTGGAGGTGGGTGAGAATGAAACATCAAGCAGAGCCTAAAGAGTTCTATCAAGTTTATTTTTATTGTACAATGAGACATAAACCGTTCCAAAAAGATCCAGGCCTGGAGCAGGTAACAGAGCCTCAGGAGGCATCTTGGCTTCCTTGGATACCGGACAACTAGCCGTTACACTCAATGCAGCTACATCCAGTGGTGACTTCTCTGCTGCAGATGAAGCTCTGACCTGTACAGCTCCACCAACCTGATTTACAAAGGGCTTGCTGGTCACTCATCTTCTGAGTTGTGTCGTAGATATAGTCGCCAACACTTCCATAAGAGGACACAACAGCAGCAGCAGGTAGTCAGCGTGCGTAGAAAAGAACACTGGACCCAAACAAGGGCCGAGCATTTAAAGTTTGATGGACGGTCAAAGCCGATGAGACAAAGAGTTGTCCAAATGTATTGTGAAGACCGGAATCTCCTTCATTTTCTCCGCTGGGGTCTCGACATTGGTGGCCTCCTCGGCTCTGGTTTCCTGTGCTGGGTGGTGGATCGCCACCAAGATCTGGTACAGCAGCGTGCCAAAAACGCCCCCAAAGCATGGTGCTACGATGGGGACCCACCACCAGTTGTTCCCGGCCCTGCAAGGCAGAAAGAAAGCTTGGTAACTGTTTTTGGACAGGTTCATAGTTGGACAGGGTTGTTGAGCCCAATGGGACAACCAGGCTGTAAGCTAAACTTCCCAGTTGAACCGTCTCTCCATATATTCCTATAATGACTCCTTTAGGGGGCCAGCGATGCCATAATACCAAGACTATTAGGGTGGAGTCACCACCCACCGGCAAATTCTCCTTAGGAATATAGGAAGAAAGAGGTCAACTGGAACCAAGAGGTTCAACTCACAGCAGAGCCTTGGTTTCCATGGGAGGACCAAAAGTAGGAGAAGATGTCTCAAGTCTGACCCCAATAAGGGTAAAGTGGGGAATTGTAACTTGCCAAAATCCACCAAAAATGAAGGTAAAATTCCTAAACTAAGCCATTCATTGTTTGGGATAAAGTAGGCAAGGGATAGAGCCTCCTTGACGTCTTTGTCTCCACTTGAACAGTAAATGATGAAGGTTCTCCCCAATAAGGACATGGACCAAAACAGTTCTATCCTTTCCCCAACACTACTCAAATTTATTTTAAACAAATGGCTTGAATGGCGTCCACCTTGACTGAAGGACAAGCGAGCTAAACTTAAGAACACCCTTCCACCCAACAAAGAGAAATCTGCCAAAGGGTGGCCACCAACCTGAAGACGTCTGAGCCCCATCCCGCCACATAGGTGAAGAGCCGTGGCCCCAGGTCTCGACTTGGGTTGATCGGATAGCCGCAGTTTGCCCCCATGGAAAGGCCGATGGAGAAGACCAGCATCCCCACCGCGATTGGCTCAAGACCCTTTGGGACTGGCTTGTTGCTGGAATCAATAATGGCCAAGATGCCAATCATCAACATTGCTGTGCCCATCACCTGCGTACAGAAAGCAAGGGGGTCAGAGGACAACATTATATGTGTACGGTACGTCTAGACAACATTTCACAGTTGTCATAGAAACAGGAAGCAAGGGGAAATGGGGGGGGGGTGTGTCTTGGGGGACACCTGTTTTCGGTCACAACCGTAAAAATATATTAAAGAGCTTGGAGAGACGAGGGGTAAAAATTGATGGAGAAAAATTGTGCTTTGGTGTCACCTGATCCAGAAATCCGTTTGCAATGCTCAGGTAGGGGGCGGGGTACGAAGAAAATATGGAGGCCGTCTCTCGTGGTCCATGCACAGTCAGGTTGCCGCCGGTGTAATTCTGGATGGCATCTTGACAAAAACAAAAAACAATGATGATAAATAAAGAGGTTGAGTCCTTTAAGTTCCAATAGTAAAAGAGACGACACAGGGGAGAGCTAGCGGGACGTTTATCTCACCGTAGTACAGCGCGAACACAGCTGCTGCTCCAGCAAAAGACCCCACCATTTGGATGATGACATAGATGGGCAATTTCCACCATGGGAATCGGCCCAGGACACACAGGCTGAGGGAGTATGCTGGATTTAGATGCCCACCTGCAGGAGAGAAGGCACAAGTTAGCAGTTATGAATAGGTATGAGAATTGGAAACTTTTGCCTCTTTGTTTAAAATTAGAAAAATTTTTGCAAAATTTTCACACTCATCATTACGCTACGAAGGTGGTTTTAAAGATAGCAATGGGCTTAATATGAGTCGTGAGGGTTGTGAACGCTCATTTCAACTAGACTGGACCTCTTGTGCCCAAAAAAATGTCCCTGCATTAGTTGGGAGGACCACATTAGATATTCTGGAACACAATTGTTCCATTACATTACCTTAATTTTAACCCTAGTGCTAACCCTAATTTTAAAACTGTTTTATACGAATCCGAATGCTAATCCTAATGCTAACACTAAATCTAATGCCAACCCTGATCCTAACCCTAACGCCAACCTTGATAGTAACCATAACCCTAAGGCTAACTCTAACCCAAATTTTAACCCTAATGCTAAGCCTGATACTAACCCCACTGCTCACTCTACCACTCATCCTAATGCTAACCCCAGATAATAACCTTAGCCCTAATGCTAACCCTAACCCAAATATTAATCCTAATGCTAAGCCTGGAACTAACCCTACTGCTCACCCTGACACTCACCCTAATCCTAACCCCAGATACTAACCTTAGCCCTAATGCTAACCCTAACCCAAATTTTAATCCTAATGCTAAGCCTGGAACTAACCCTACTGCTCACCCTGCCACTCACCCTAATCCTAACCCCAGATACTAACCTTAGTCCTAATGCTAACCCTAACCCAAATTTTAATCCTAATGCTAAACCTGATACTAACCCTAACACTAACGCCAACCCTGATACTAACCTGAACCCTAATGCTAACCTTGATACTAACCTTAACCCCAATGCTAACCCTAATCCAAGTTTGAATAACCCTAATACTAACCTTTAGGGGAAACTACCCTACCCCTGCTGCTGATTCTTGGCTCTTCCCTTTTCAGCTGTTTCTGATCATGGTGCCATTGTCTGAACTGAAGTAGCCACCCACGCAGGAGTCCACAAGGTGGGCCACTCCGATTAAGCTCAAGCTCCTGCTGCACCAGGAGTTTCTTTTTTCCTCTTTCAGATCTGCTCAGCGCCTAAGAAGGGGAAGTTGTTACCACAACCCAACGTGGTTCAGCGGTCGCACCCCCTTTATCAGGGCTTAAAGTGGTCAGCTGGTTGAAGGTTTAAAAACCATAAAAATGATAACATTTCACCCAGCATACAGCTAGGTGAACGCCATTCGCAGCAAATTTCCGCCAGTAGATGGAGCCAAAGAGCACGTTTCCTATGCTCCTCGGCTCCATCTAGGGGCCGTAATGGGGAATGAACAGTGTTCACCCACCTATATGTTGGGTGGAAGCTTTATACATCAGTCCCGTAGTGTTCGGTCGAACATTCTCACTTCAGGCCCTGATGAAGGGGGTGTTCTGTTCTGTGACGCCCATAACAGTTGGCTCTGTGACAAAGACTTTTTGGAAAAAATTTACATCTGGACGATCTACTTCTTCTGTGCTGCTTCAATCTCAGATTTACTAAGATAATACATGTGCTCTAGACAACATATCATAGCAAGGGGCATTGAACATACCTGACACACCCCCTGACACATAAATCGCCATAGTGACACCAATGGCTCCGCCCAGATACATGCAAAAGAAGTTGCCCTTGGTGTTTTGGCTTGTGACCCCCTGCGCAGTGGCCGCAACCGTGATCAACTGCAAAGAGACAAAGATGGCAGATCTTTAATTTGATCATGTGCGAATGGCGAAAAATTCCGGCTTTTTCAGGAGCAATCCATTGGCTGGCACCATTGGTACATTGGTTGTGGGCGTGGCCAGTCTGATATCCTAGTAGGCGGGCTCTGTTTTTGTTTCTGGTGGGTGTAGCCAGCTGTCAGCATGGAAGAATGCAGAGAGGGTTAACAAAGACACCAGGTCAGGTGACCTTCGCTGCGTACACGGGCCTCCAGCTCGGTGGCATCCTTGCGCAATCGTCCTGGGGCTCTTTGCCGCTCGGGTTTCGCCAATTGCGCCATTTCACAAAAAAGGATTTGAAAGCGTGAGACGGGGAACTCTCAGGGCATAACCAGGGAGAAGAAGGAGGACATCTATTTGTGAAAGCGCTGAGATTTCGCCATCGAGGGTTAAGAAAAAGCAAATGCAAATCTGAACTGGGAGATTCGGAATCAATTTGAATAAAATAGATAAATATGTCTGCAAAAAAGTTTCCCCAGCCATCAATGTGGGGGAGGGAGGGGGTGTTTTTTTGGGGGTTCGGTTACAGCATAAAATATCAACGTCAGCATTGGCTGGAGGAGGCAAACCACATATGCAATGTATAGGAACCGGACAGAAATACACTATTCAGTGGTAACTCGGTTCACCAACTTCATGTATGCGGACCGAATAGTTCACGAACAGAAGCGTTTAGGGGGGGTTGTTTTTCAGGGGTTGGGCTCGGCCCCTTAGTTCCAGTGAAGGGAATTCTTAAGACATCAGCACACCAAGACATTTTGGACAACTTTGTGGGAGGAGTTTGGGGACGGCCCCTTCCTGTTTTAACATGACTGCGCACCAGTGCACAAAGCAAGGTCCATAAAGACATGGATGGGGGAGTTTGGTGGGAAAGAACTTGACTGGCCGCACAGAGTCCTGACCTCAACCCCATAGAAGACCTTTGGGATGAATTAGAGCGGAGACTGCGAGCCCGGCCTTCTCCTCCAACATCAGTACCTGACCTCACAAATGGTCCAACATTCCAATAGACCCACTCCTAAACCTTGTGGACGCCTTCCCAGAAGAGGCGGAGCTGTTATAGCGGCAGAGGGCGGAGCCAACCCAATACTGAACGCTACGGACAGTCTGAGATGTAATTAAAAGTCATGTGCGTGTAAAGGCGTCCCAATACTTTTGGCAATATAGTGTATGTATGTTACTCATCAGTGTCACTATACACATCTCCTGACTGTCACTGGACTCAACTGTTATTTTTGCCCCTGGAACTTGTAGCACGAGCAAAGGTTTGTCGGGGGAGGTTTGATGGGGAGGCAGAAGGGGGGAGTCTATAAGGGAAATGGCACCCTGATCATTCTCTGTCAGTGCAATACAATGAGTTACACGCCATAGCCAGGTCAATATTTCCTGACATTTCCATTAAAATTTTGGCACAATTTTTGCAAAATGCGTCAGAGTCAAAGGGGACAATGAAATTAAGGTGTTTTCTTTTTTTTGTGGGCTTTAATGTTCCCCTTGCAGACTCCCCTGACCCGATCGCCACCGCCCTACTAGGACGGGTTAATGAAACTGGCAGAGTGGGACTTGCGGGTAACAAGGGTCGTACTCTGCCCTCTGCTGATAATTCCTGTAATCAGGGAATTAAGTAGCTGAGAAATGATAAACAATTCTGATAATGGGCAATAAACAGCTACAATCACTGCTGTGAGGCGTCGGAGCTCATACTCATGAGATGGCAACTTTCCCGGGAGCTCCGCAGACGTGCTGCCACTTACAAGGACGGGCGACTGCATAGGGGGGAGATGGCACACAGACACCAGATGTGATAGATCCAGGCTGCCCATCGTCTGATCGGGGTTCTAACACACAGCCACGGGAGGCACAGAAGGTAAAAGCACAGGTACTGCCGGTTCTAACCCTATTCCTTGTCCAAACTCTAACCCTCACTCTAACCCTAATACCTAGTCCTAACTCTAACCCTCACTCTAATCCTAATACCTAGTCCTAACTCTAATCCTAATACCTAGTCCTAACTCTAACCCTCACTCTAACCCTAATACCTAGTCCTAACTCTAACCCTCACTCTAACCCTAATACCTAGTCCTAACTCTAACCCTCACTCTAACCCTAATACCTAGTCCTAACTCTAACCCTCACTCTAACCCTAATACCTAGTCCTAACTCTAACCCTCACTCTAACCCTAATACCTAGTCCTAACTCTAACCCTAATACCTAGTCCTAACTCTAACCCTCACTCTAACCCTAATACCTAGTCCTAACTCTAACCCTCACTCTAACCCTAATACCTAGTCCTAACTCTAACCCTAATACCTAGTCCTAACTCTAACCCTCACTCTAACCCTAATACCTAGTCCTAACTCTAACCCTCACTCTAACCCTAATACCTAGTCCTAACTCTAACCCTCACTCTAACCCTAATACCTAGTCCTAACTCTAACCCTCACTCTAACCCTAATACCTAGTCCTAACTCTAACCCTCACTCTAACCCTAATACCTAGTCCTAACTCTAACCCTCACTCTAACCCTAATACCTAGTCCTAACTCTAACCCTCACTCTAACCCTAATACCTAGTCCTAACTCTAACCCTCACTCTAACCCTAATACCTAGTCCTAACTCTAACCCTCACTCTAATCCTAATACCTAGTCCTAACTCTAACCCTCACTCTAACCCTAATACCAAGTCCTAACTCTAACCCTCAGTCTAACCTTAATATCTAGTCCTAACTCTAACCCTCACTCTAACCCTAATACCTAGTCCTAACTCTAACCCTCACTCTAACCCTAATACCTAGTCCTAACTCTAACCCTCACTCTAATCCTAATACCTAGTCCTAACTCTAACCCTCACTCTAATCCTAATACCTAGTCCTAACTCTAACCCTCACTCTAACCCTAATACCTAGTCCTAACTCTAACCCTCACTCTAACACTAATACCTAGTCCTAACACTAACCCTCACTCTAACACTAATACCTAGTCCTTACTCTAACCCTAATTCCTAGTCCTAACACTAACCCTCACTCTAATCCTAATACCAAGTCCAAACTCTAATCCTAATACCAAGTCCTCACTCTAACCCTAATACCAAGTCCTCACTCTAACCCTCACTCTAATCCTAATTCCTAGTCCTAACTCTAACCCTCACTCTAATCCTAATACCTAGTCCTAACTCTAACCCTCACTCTAACCCTAATACCTAGTCCTAACACTAACCCTCACTCTAACACTAATACCTAGTCCTTACTCTAACCCTAATTCCTAGTCCTAACACTAACCCTCACTCTAATCCTAATACCAAGTCCAAACTCTAATCCTAATACCAAGTCCTCACTCTAACCCTAATACCAAGTCCTCACTCTAACCCTCACTCTAATCCTAATTCCTAGTCCTAACTCTAACCCTC